CTGTATGTGTTGTTTACATCATAGCTTCGCTTTATTCAGCCTTGCATACAAGGTCACAAAAGAAATTTGGGCCTTATTATTCCTGGAGGAGTTTGTGTTTTTTGCTGTGGTGTTAGATTACCTTACCCTTTTTTATTACCATCTGCACTGCAAGGCTAGTTTTGCTGAGGTTATTTTTTTTTTAAGCAGCATCCCATGATACCTTTAATTCTGTGTTTCCTGTGCTTTTGCTTCATTTGCAATTTTAAGAGATTTTCTGTAAGAAATAGGTTTGTTCTAGATTATGTACCAGTAAATTAGCCAGTTTCTTACTCTACAATTTTAACCCTTTAATTCTGGAGCACAAATGGAATTGTTTTACAATAAATTAATTAAGAAAGGATTTCACCTGTTAGTGTCCTTCAGTGCACAGGGAGAAAGATGGTGTCAAAGATTACATACTTTTGTCTAACTCTGGCCTTTTGTGTAGGATTTTTATTTTGATACCTGACTTTTTCTGTGTATTTTATGCAATTATTTTCAGCTGACTTCTTTGTGCAGCCAATGCCATTGACTGCAGAGCTTTGAAAATAGTTTTTCTTCATTAATGGCTTCTGGTGTATTGTTGGGAGAACAAAGTGCTGTCCCTAGTGGCTCCTGAAACTTATAGAAGCATGCAATGAAATAGCTATTATTTTTCATAAAAAAAATATTACAGTACTACTTTTAATAGCTTTACACAAGCATGAACAACTTGAACTAAAGAGATGAATTGAATCTGAAGTTTCTTGAGCTATCTTTTAACCCTCAAAACATAGTTCGTGTTTGTAGATCTTCAGAATTGAGAAGCCCCTTCCGTGTGCTTGTCCACCCAAGCATAGTGAAACAAGAAATACAGAAGCTCAGTTTTTCTGGCTCTGCACACATGAAGGCACTGTGTACCAGGGTCACTTTTCAAAAGACAAGGTGACCTGCACTGAGTTTTTGCAGTCGTTCAAAAGCTGAAGTGCTGTGTGCTATTTCAGAGCAGGTATGGGACCTCAGGCTGTGGGGTACCAGTTGGTTGGGATGGGAGGCAGAAGAGCAGAGGGTGTTCTTCCACAATCCCGTGGGTGTTTGCTGCCTCACTGGTGGCCCTGGGCAGGACTCTGTGATCTCAAAAATCCTTCCAAGTGGCTTGGTTTGTAAGCCTGAAACTAATTTCAAGAAGCATAGTACCAAAAAGGATAGTTAGGAGCCCTCTCTTTAGTACCTTCAAGTGTTGTCAATTGATCAGCGTGCAGATTGGAGATGGGATTTCTTTCAGTTATGATTGACAGTTTTGTCTGTGGGGTTTTCCCACATCTTTCCCATGGATCTTAAATGACAGGTCACTTGTATATGAAAATGGCCCAAGGCATATTTATGTGATTTCCATAAACCTGGACAGGAAGGCAGCCTATGCAAAAGAGGTGCACTGTGAGGCAGAGTGAGAGCTTCAAAGTAAAATCACATTTTTTATTGGTTGTAGAAAGCAGTGATAAAGCACAATTCCTTATTGCTTTCATGTGATGTCAAATCAGATTGGACTGGGTTTTTCAGCCAGTTGCACAATGAACAATGGGATATGGTCTAATGTTCCCCAGATCTGTTTGGAATAATGCAGATGAGCATCTATATAGCAAACTGAAAATTGAAAAAACAGATGAAATACCTGAAACCAATATAGCAAGGGTTCTTCACTTTCCTATTTATTTGGCAGCATGCCATTATTAGCATGTAAATTTCTTCCTCATTACTACAGAATAACAAAATGTCTTTGACCATCATTTTTCCTTCCTGAGGTTGTTGTCATTATCTGTAATTTCCACTAAGTCTCCCTGTTAATAGTGCTTGCCTCTCTGTACACTGACATTACTAGTTGGTGTACATTTCCAGAAAACAGAATATCTCATGTAAATCCTTTGTACATGCCTGTTCCTTGTTTTTTTCCCTTAATTAATGTGGCTAAGACGTGTTTTAGCAGAGGCTGAAGAATCGTATTTAGATTTGTTAATCCACTTTACCTTTGCAATTATTTTACTTTATGTTATGCAGAGTGCTCATATTTGGCCATATGTTTCAGTGCTTAGGGTTTACTTTAAGAATTACCAAACTTAAGTTCTGAAGTATATATATTATTGGAAACATGGAGTATTTCTAGCATCAGTTACTTAGTTATGAAATAAAAAATGCATGCATAGACAGAGGTCATCTCTATTCATGTATTTAATAAAGTATGGTAGGAAAAAGAGGTTATTATAAAAGTTTTGCGTGGTTTAGTGTTTGGTTTGGGTTTTGATTTTGTTGGTTGTGTTCTTCCTCTTCCCACTCTCCTTTCATTCTTCAGTGTCATCAGTCACTGAAGTATATCAAATGCTAATTTCTACTTTTCCATCTAAGCCTGTCTGGAGCATTCAATCATTTTCTCTTGTGCCACCTTTATAAGGGAAGTATGCATGTCTGCTTGTTCCCTTCTGGCAGATGTCTTCCATTTTCCTTGTCATCTGTCAGGATTGGTTGTGATAGAATTGATTTTTCTCCGTTAAGAATTCGATTTTTTCAATTATTCTTTCATCCTTCTGGAGCTTCTTAGCTTATAAAGGCTGGACACAGATGTGTGGAATCAGCTCCAGGAAGTTACTGAGAGACCATCTTTATCCTAGCTATATTTGTATAAAGAGCACCTTTCCAACCTGAGAGGGGTTCTGCATGGGGAGCTGGGGCCTCCTGTGTGATCACAGCTGCTCTGACACATGGAATGCTGATATTGGGTATTTTAATCCATCACAGGTTTACAAGTGGCAAACCTGTGCTTCCACTTTTCTGGCAGAGGCAATGGTTTCCCTCTGCAGGTCCTGTTGTTGGGCTGTGCTGTGAGCTGGACTTGTGCTGAAGTGAATGGAGTTTGAGGAAGAAGAGGTGGTTTTGTGCAGCTGAGAGAGCAGCTGAGCCTTGCACAGACACTGCTCCAAGGACAATGCCAAACTGGTTGGGACAGGAAGGATCTCTGGGGTGGAAATGATTCCTCAGCCACCAAGCAAATCCTTGCATGGACTTGAGTCCTTGTCCAGTATTCCTAAGGACTTCTCCCTCTGTATAGAATCATGGAGAAAGTCCTAAGCATCTGTGCTGTTTTTATGTTGGTGTCTCAGGAAGTACTAAGGTTGGCAAAGATTGTGGTGGTGCTGCTTATAAAAATATACTTGAGGTTTCAACACATACTGGTTTACTTCTCCTGCTTGGATTGGAAAAGCATTTAGTAATGAGGTTAAAACAATCAAATTGGATATTATGAGCACAGGGTAGATTTCAAACATACTTTGTTCCCCTCAACTTTACAAAATATTATTCTTGAAGTAGCATCTTGGGAGTCTGTTGAGCAGAGATTTTGTCTAAGTTAAAAACAAAAGTTCAGCTGAGGTAGAATAAGAAGCCTTGGTGTCTTGGGACAGAGAATGTGCAGTGTGCTTACAGCTGGGGGCTTGGCATCCATGGTCTTTTCAATAAACAATTTTAGAAAATTTCACTGAAAGTGCAGTATCATATGATTCTGTAGTTATCCTTTTCTACTATAAACTACTACAAAATCCATTTTGAAAAATCAGTGACAAGGTGTCCAGGATGGGCATAAAGTATTGCAAGGAACTGCTTATCCAGTTTTACAGTGTCACCTGAATATGAGCTCTGGTATAGGACTCCTCAGAAAGGACAATCGGATTTCTAACACTTAGCAGAAGAGTTTCACTCATTTGAAGACGTCGGGGATGCCTGACTTCAGGAAATACTCAGCACCTTATACAACTGCTCACGGCCTGAGGGTAGAAAGGGCTGCTGATTTCGGAGTGAGGGAGTTTCCCCTCTCCCTGTGTGGTCGGTGGGAGCACTGAGTGCCATGGGTTGCCCAAATGTGAGCCTGTGGAAAGCTATGCAGCTCCTGCTGGGACCAGGTGATGTGAATCTCCTGAAATCTCCTCCCCCCTTGGCTTTCCAAACCTCTTTAATTGCTTCAAATATGCTGCAGGGCACAGCTCTAAGTTTGAACTGGTTAAATCTGAAATAAAATCTGAAATAAATCTTAAACAATATTCATACAGACTCTTCCTTTCTTACCTCCATAAGTATTTGTTCAGCCTTTATATTTGAGCTTATTTTACCTTTTGAGTTGATGTTGTAGTTTATGTGAAAACTATTTTTTCTAGTTGAACTCCATAGCTGCTGCTGAATTAGAGGCTTTACCCTAGTTAATATGTGCATGCATACACTACTTCCTTTATTCTATCCTTTTTCTGAAACTTTTTGCTATAATTACAGTAAATGATTTCTTGGATTGCATGTTGAGAGGGCAGAATTGCTGTGCCAGCAGCCTTGTTTTATTCTTTTGCTGGCTCCTGAGGGTAATAAGATCTATGCACTCTACTAATTTTCTTGCATACTTAGCTGCAATTGCAACCTTTAGTAATTATTTTTTAATTAACTCCAAAATATTGCATGAATAATGCAAAATTTTAAAAAACAGAAAAATTTAAAGAGCTCAAAAGTAGGTATATTTTATACTTCAAATCAATAAGCACTATTTCTTGGAATTTTTATACAAGTATGCATTGTAGCATGTAGCATGGTGACATTAAATGACCTGAGCAGTTGTAGAAGTATCAGAGGTATGTTGTAAAAGAGAGTTCGGCATTTAGATGGGGATCACATTTGTTTTCATAATTCGTAGTGAGAATTTCTTAGAGCTTCCAATAAGATTCTTTTCTAATACTGAAACTTTTATTCTACTTCACATTTTCTAGACGTTTGCTTTTCAATTAGCAGAAGTTATGTTTTTGCAAAACTCATTGACTAATTCTGTCAGAAGAAAGAATTGTATATATTTAGATATCAACTTACAGATCAGCTGGCCTGGCCTGTGGGTATAAAAACGGGCAGTAAATGTTCATGACCATGAGAGAAGGCAAGATGAAAGGAGGTTTTTAATAAATCCTGGCTTTGTTTTGTAGTGGATGGCTGCATTCACCGAGCTGCCGGGCCCTGCTTAGTGGCCGAGTGTCGCCACCTGAACGGCTGTGAGACGGGACAGGCCAAAATCACCTGTGGATACGACCTGCCTGCAAAGTGTAAGTCAAGCCTTTCTCAGAGCTCTCGTTTCCAGCATGGGTTGCTGGTGTGCATGGCTCATTTCCCTCTAGTCTTAATTCAGCAGGGTATTCATTTTACAAAATTAGCAGTGGGACTTAATTAAGCATGTTCTGTAATAATGTCTTCCCCTCAAAGCAATTCAGGCTTCTCTAAACGATTATTTCACCTGTGTTATCCGATGAAAACTTACATGGCTCTAAAATACAAAGCATCTTTCATGTTTATTTTTTGCAAGCTAAAACCTATCCTTTCATATGCATAATAAAGGATTTGAAATGCTTTATGAAATATGAACAAAATAGACATTATCATATTTAAGTTCCGTGGAGACAGTTTTTGGAAATGTTGCATATTTGATGTTCTTCATGCAGATTCCTTGACTGTGAATACTTTGAGGACCCAGGAGATCAAAGTGATGTATTGTGTTTTCAGCTGCTACGTAATATCTGACTGGCAATTACTGTGAAGGCATCTGTCACACTTTAGCTTTCTACAGAGTATAGCTCACTGCTGGAAAGTTTTTGCACTTTGCAAGTGGAGTTGTCAGAAATTTTCCTCCTATTTCAAATATCAAGATGGTTATTTGACTGTGTTGTGTAGATGTTGAGCTTCTCTTGGAGAACACTAACATATTGGCAACACATTGGTCAGCCAATCTATTATGTGAGATTATGAAGTAGGAAATCTTTGCAATTAGGATCTTACAGAATAGTATATTAAAACATGAAGATACAAGTACCAAGAAAGCATTGCAGACTCCCTATAACTGGAATTCAAGCTCTCTTTTGTTTTTTTCTTTTTTTTTGAGGTATGCAGGCCGCAGCAGGAACATGACTCATTCAAAACTATTTAGTTCTCTCTTAATTATCATGTAAAATCAAATGCTGGCTGCAGTAGCAGGTATCTCTCTAGGCTCCTGTAGCCCTTAATGTCTTAGGTAGAGATGAAAATTGTTTTCCTGGCAATTTTTTTGCTTTTTCTATGATGACAATGATGAGAACTTCCAGTTATTTCCTTGACAGTGGTAATTTCTATGCATTGGAAACCTTTGCTGTATTTTATACATAGTTTTACCACATGGTAATGGTCATTTATGAAAGGCTGATTTGACCAGAGGTCAGGGAAATTGTTGAGGAAGATTCTATGTGGAAGTTAGGCTGGGTTTGTGCATGGCCCAAATCTTCACCAGATTCCCATAAAAGGGATAGGATTGTTAGATGACACATCATAATTTACTCTGGTGAGGATGTTTAATGTTTAATTCTTCCCCTTTAACCAAAAAGTATCTCTGGAGGGACAGAAAAGCTGCTCATGAGGAGGTGCACAATTCCTCCCTTGTATTTTAGAGATAGAAATTAAATACAAAGTATCAAGGCAGCTGATGTGTGTTAGAAAGGGGGAAGGGTCACGTCTGAGGTGTGACCTCCCTTTAAATCTTGCAGCAGTTCAAGGGATTGCTCAAGTTAAGTTTGAGAAATGGGATCCTGTTTATGGCTATAGGAAAATCTTACTTCTTTGAGAATATTAACCAAAACAATTAGAAAATCCATTATCACTTGAAATTGGAAATAAAACCTGTAACCAGGCATGGGGAAAAGCCAATCTTCTTCTTGATCAGTATTCTTAGAAATTGCATCAAAGCCATGTCTATTTGTATTTGATCGTGCATCAACATGAGAAGGGGAAAGGATACCTTTAACATCAGCAGGCACAGGGAGGGAAACATACAATTTTTGTGCAGAGGCTGAGCATTAAAAACTCTTGATTTCTTAGATTTTTTCCTTAAAATGTATTTGTGTTCTCACCAAATGTTGTTTTCTTTTACTTTTGCCTCTACAAACTTTAGTTTGTAGGCTCATTAAATTATTGTACCTTTTAAACCATTCACCTGAAAGTGATCAAGCAGTCAAGGCTGGTTTCATATTTTAGAGAGCTATAAAGGTAGTGGATATCTTTTGTCACTCTCTGTGACTTTGTCTTAATATTATGACAGTTTAACTGTGGGAACTGTTTTGCATTTGACGTCTGTGAGGAAAGCAGCTCTGTGACAGGAGGTCCAGACTCTCCCATGCAGATCCTCTGTGACCCAAGGCTGTGTGCCAGCAATTTGCTGAAGGTTATGGTTGACTGCTAACCTCCAACTTTCACAAGCAGTTTGCTTTTCATTGATCTGTTTGTGGATAGGAGAACAACTACAATAATCAATTAACACTTTTTTGAGTAGTGAATTCTTTATTCTATTGTCTCTGTTCTTCTTGTGACTGTAGTTGGACAAACAATTGTAGTAAATGTGAGATGCATTTCTTAGCATGATAAATTGTTGTGTTTGGGTGAAATTTTTTTGTTATTAAACAGAATTCTAAAATGTTACAATTCTGTTTCCTACCCCTGGAATTTTCCCTATTCAAGTTCTTGATCCTGAAATGCTTTGCTTGGAAACAGTTTGCTGAATTCAGCAAAGCTGCTCTGGGATACAGCAGCCTGTGTGTGCTGTATGATGCAGGACTTGGGCTTCAGCAAGGACTCCATCTTAAAAAACGTTTAGTATTCAAAGATCATGCAGCATTTTGCTTTGTTTTATAAACCACTTGGAGGAAGCTGGGATTAAGTTTGGCACTGAAGGAAAGGTATGCTTTGTTAGGTAGGTAGTAGTTGGTAAATAAAAACCAGTCTGGCCATCTTCTTTATGATCTATTGTATTTTTATTGAGTGCTTTGCTGTATTTGCTTAGGTTAAATAAGAACAGCTCTGACAAATAACTTCTTCATAGTGGAAAAATTGAAAAATAATATCTGACTGAAAAATGCCAAGATGTAGGATATAGGCTGGCTTTCTGTGATTTGTTCTTGGTGCATCTGAGTCAGAAATCAGTTTGTGAAATACACAAGTAACAGCAAATGTTCGGGTAGAGAATATATACAATGGTTCATAATTCTCCTCAGCTCTTTTTTGTAATAATGTGAACAGACCAAGATTAACATGTCTGCGGCCTGGAGATGTTTCTTTATGAACTTTTCAAGATATACACTTTTTTATGCCAAAAAGTATTCTGTTTGAAAATAGAAGAGAAGTCAAATTGAGTTTTCTAATTACCAGTTAATGTAACATTCAGTACAGTTTTACAGAAATCAGTGTAATCACCATCTGCCTCCTGTACTGCAAAAGCCTACACAAAGCCCCCCCCAAATGCCAACCAAGTTATTTGCTGAATGCATAATTTGGTTGATGTCATCTATTGTTGTTTTCCAGCAAACACCTATGCAGGCACCCGAGTTTGCACAGTGCTCTGGAGGGCTGAAAAAGGCAGTGCCTTTTGCTCTGAGATGGTTTCCTTTAATGCTGTCCCAGACCGATCATCAATTATTTAACTTCTGTACTTCATATTATTGTTCCTCTTAAAGAACAGTTCATTCTAAATATTGTACAGCTGATCTTCAAACATTGAGCAGTACTCTGGTACTGACATGCTTTAAATAACAGATGAACAGTATCTGTTTAAAACTCTACAAATGCTTGTTTTCTTTCTCATTTGATTAATAGTCTCAGTTGGCTGTACTGGCAGAAAATGGTCTGGATGTAAATTGTGTTTATGGCTGGAACGAGGGGTCCATAACAGCTTTGTGGATTGTTATCTGCCTGCAGAGGTTCACTATAAAAAAGGACCCTGTCAGGACACATGAGAAGATAGAGTCCCATTCTGCCTGGTATTTAACAGGTCTAAAAACAATTGAAAGCCAGCACAGATATGTGGTACCCTGACCTAGGCAGGAAAGGACCCCCAAACTAACTTTTGTTCTACTCTTACTAAGTCTAGTAACAATTTCTTTCTTTTTCTGAAAAATGTCTGATAATAAAACTCCTAAACCTGGGAAAATAAAATCTTACTACCTCTAATATGGGATAGAACCAACCATCAGTAAATCTGAAAGGTGGACTTTGGGTGGAGACACCTTTGCAAGGCAGTTTCTAATACAATGGTTTATGTTCATAATAAATCTATAATATTTAGAATCATTTTTTCTGTTTGCTTGACATTTTTAGTACTGTAAGCACTGTCCCTGAGTAAATAGCACATATAGCAAGTCTTCTGGTCCAAGATCAGCCTGCAGTAATAATGTGAATGTGCTCTGAGACAGTTCCTGCTGTGAAATAAGTAGTTCAGAGAAGTGCTAGTATTAAACACAGTAGGAGGAATCAGCTTTTAAATTTGTTTAATCAGATTAAAAAGTGGAGATTAAAAAGTAGAGATTAAAAAGTGTGCTTCTGTTATGTAGACATAATTTCTAGTCTTCTAAAGATGAATATTTGCAGGGTATTATTTTAAAGTAAGGCTGTAATGGTACTTATTTTTAAATCTCTCCTAATTTTCTTGGAGACGAATTTGCAGAGCTGTAATTAAAAGGTTGATTTATGCAGAAATGGAACTCCAAAACTCTACTGCACTACAAAACTGACCAGTTGAAAGAACGGGGCATAACGTTCAAGGATATTTTTCAGATTTCCGTGATTCCACAAAGAAATGTGTTTACTTATTTTTATTACCTTGTTTATAAAATAATAAGTTTTGTTTCAAATGATTGTAGATTTCTGATATGTGAGGGTTGAAGAGTTGCTTTCCTCTGTATGGTTCTGATGGTTGTTTAGTTTGCTACCTCCCTATTTATTCTGGTAAAAAGGAAGTCTGGGAATTGAAAAATATGTCTGGAAATTGGAAAGGAAGGTGTAAAGTGACCAATATGTGGACAAGACAGGATTGCTTAGAGAAGACCAACTTGGCTACTAACTCTCAGTTGGTCAAGATCCTTGATCTTCTCTGACAGTTGATGCATAATTGGTTGAAGTTTGATGAAATTTCAGTTAAAAAGGTACAGCCTAGGGTGGCACAATCATCAATAGCATATAAACTGATAAAGGTTAGGCAAGTTTTCCAGCAGGGATGTGTTTCTACTCTTTATCTTAGTTAAGGAGCCTCAAGTTA